CAAATTGGGATGAACGCTATATGAATGAACAATGATAAAACTATATCCAGGCATATGGACCAGATACATTCACATCGAAATGACAGTCTCTCTGGGCTCCTACAAGCAATGTGGTAGTACCAGTTTTTGTTGGTGGTCCTGAGCTGAGAAAATGTCACATTCCCATCGAACGGGCATGTTTAAAAACTAGGTTACCGCTCATAATAGAGTTTTTTTTTTTTGGGTTAGATCGCATAAATATATAAATGTGTCATTACAACCCGCCACCACCTGATAAAGCCAACTAGTAAGGTTTGTCACGTAAACAGAACATGCCAATTCGTCACTAGTACAGCACTAGTGTGTAGTGTAGTGTGTAGTGTAGTGTATAGTGTAGTATACTAGTACAGCACACCGGTTTGTTGGAGAGACAAGCCACAGCATTTTCAATCTGATTACGACGTTGCTCTAGTAATTACAACTAGCTTTATCAGGCGACAGCAATATTTGTGGAGAAGTCTAACTGTTTCGTTCCTTATATAGAGGCGTAGATGTGGTGACAACGCTTCTGCGCTCTTGCGCCACGTGGAGGGGGGGGGGGGGATTACTGAGGCAACGTACATTATGCATGTGCATTATACGAGCCCTTTGATCTTGTCCTTCCTGTCTATGATGAAGCTAGTTGTACTTACTGGCGAAACGTTGTACTAATATTGTAAATGTTGTGGCTTGGCTCTCCAACACACCGGTTAGTGCTGTACTAGTGACGAATTGGCCACGTTCTGTTCACGTGACAACCCTTACTAGTTGGCTGTGTTGGGTGGTGGCGGGTTTTAACGACACATTTTTATATTCACGCGATCTAACCCAAAAAACCTCTTGTGGATGATATTGGTCGCGAAAGCCTACGTGTTAAACTAAGTTACCACTACCGGACAACATTAACTTTAGAGTGGATATTGAGAAAATTAAAAAGTAACGGGTAAACAAAATTACAGAGGATATGATGAGCTGGAATCTAAGCATTCAGAGGTAATTTGTTGATACTCATTTTATCGACCACAGAGGGATGATGGGCTGCGTTTCGAACTTGTTGATTGTCTGCAAAAAAAAAAAATCCCACCAACCACCCAACCAGCTTACATGGAGCATCGTTATATGTCATGCATATAATTTCTACGTGTAATCCCAGTTGTCTCCTTTGCAAGGGAATATACCGGTTGATGTGAAAATATGGCCTGAGCCAATTCAATTTCACAGCCACTGAATAATGCTTGGCAGCTTGTCCTCGATATCGTATATGACACAGAGCAAGCTTCATGACTAATTTATCGATAATTAAGTAACTAATTGATTTACTGAAAAGATTTACGGATTCTGTAACAGCCAGATTATACACCTAAGCAGAATAAAAGCTGAGTAGAAAACCATAAATAACAGCAGCAGCTTTCCATAAGAAGGTGTTACTTAGGCTTGTGATGCGGTGAGTTGCATCCCTGTAAGTGCAGATAGGGCATCTACACGGATGGTATGAATGTGGGTCAAGCCTGGTGTTGCAATTGGTTTGGCAGCAGTACTGGGAATTGGTTTATTAGAACTTGTGTTTTTCTTTGTATTGCGTTACAATTATTTAAAACAATGTTTGTCATCGTTATAATGAACAAAAATTTAAATCTACATTTGACTTACGTTTTTATGACGTCATCTGGTCCAACCCATGTGAGACTAGGCTCTAAGGAAAGCTGTGTGGACTAATCAACATCAAGGACAGTGCACATTATCAGAGTTATGTTTTTTGTTGGCATTATGACTGCAGGTATTGTGGTCTATGCAAACATGACTCCTTGTAAAAAAAGTGTCAGTTTTGTTGCCAGATAGAAGGGTAAAAATACCAATTATATATTTTTTTACTGGCAAATGAGGTTCCAATGGTGATTTTACAATCGTCACGTGGTTTTTTTTACGACTAAGATTACAAAATTACAAATAAACAAAATAGTTGTTGTGTAATGTCTCACCTGTAGAGTGAAAGTTTAAATTTGTTCCGGCTTGTATTGTGGAGCTGTGTAGTTGACACACGGTGCTGCACACCTGGAAATCTACAAGTTTCATTTGTTAGGTTTTGCCCTGTGAGCCATTCGGCTCTTGAATCGGGTGCAACCGCAACAAACAAAAAAACATGAACAAGAAAACATCTTAAAGTGAATATGTGACTATGTGCAAACAGAAAATCCAAGAAAAGACAGAAAAATATTGCAGAAAAAGCACCGTACACCAACACTGTGTGCAAAAATCCCAGTGGGATGCAAGTCAAACAACCAACAACAACCACAAGACAACTTAGATTAAGGCCATCAGTCTAACTCTGTACTACAACAAACAAACATGGCCAAACCGAAAAACTTTTCAAAAATCACCAAAATAAAGCCAATTCAAGGCCATGACAGGGCACTGAAGAAGCGGCAAGATGTTGTCGCCCTCGTCTGGTTCGCAGGGCGTCGTGGGCTCCATCCCGACCCTGATGATGCCTCTTGTATATTCAGAGTTCGCGTGTTCTCGCTCACCGTCGTCACATGGATTTTCATCCGGGTCCTGAGGCTTTGACCTCAGTGTTTGGGAAACGTGCATTTAGATGATTTCCCTGCAACAAATTCCCACGTATGACATAAGCCACTTTGACGAGCTATCATGTGTAGTCAGTTTGCCCTTGAAAAAGTTGGCGTTATCTAGTAAATAAAAGAGTATCATTAGACTAATGGCCACAGCCACCACGGTGACCAGCGAGGTGAAGTATGGTCATACAACACCCATAACCGTAAGGTGTGGGGTGGGGGCTTCAGCCAGCAGTGGATTTGGAAAGGGCTGTACATTCGAATTTCTATAATTTAGATTTGCTTGCCAGCAGACAAACTCGTCAGCTGCTAGTCATAAATAGTGTATTATGTTCTTGTTGAAGATCAGCATTGTGTCTTTGTTTCACGTAACAGTTGAGTGTAAGTAAATACAAATTCTGCAGTGACTAATGCGAACAGGAATGTAAGATGTTGACCTTCGAATGCATTGTAGTGTTAGGTGTTAGTTATATTTACTATGCATAATAGGGGTAAAGGTGCAGTCCTGCAATTGCTTGTTCATGTTACTGTTGGCAAAGAGGTATCCACTAGGCGTTTTCCTAGAGAGCTCCTCCAATGGGTATTTGGCCTACTCTTCTATTCTGGCCAGAGATCTTGGAAATATCACCACGTTACTGCACTGCATGTGATCTGCGCGATTGACTAACTGGCTAAACAGTGGCACCTCCGAGTAGTACGGTTGGCTACGTACGGTGTGACAGAAATTCAACATGCAGACATAAAGTGCAGTAGATTTGAACAAAGTTGCTCGTTGTTTCAACTGGCGCATCTACTATGCATGATGTGTTCGTACTTCTGCATGCGTGTGGGTGTACATGTTATCCGCCTGTCTATGAATTATGTATCATCTACGTGCTATTTTAACTGCTGATTGCGCACGTGTCTGTGCTGTGTAATAATAAATGAGAGTCATCCTTCGTGATTAGGAAGTAATAAATTTGATTAGGAAGTTCAATGCACATATGCCCTTTCTAAAACGCGAGTTGCATTCATCGACCGCCATGGCCTGGTCCAAGAAGGCTTCGGCTGTAAGGGAAACAACTGGTCATATTCCCACGGTCTGTTTTACATCGCTCACATGCCATGCACACCCTCTGGCTTGCAATCACCAGGTAACCAGTGCTGAAACAAGGCCTGCAGGACCAGTTTATATTGATTAATATTGGGCCAATCCAGATTGTCAATGGGAACCTTAATAGCAGCGTTTCTCATCCACTTTAACCCCTCGGGTCCAGCATCTTAATCTGTCAGCGGCTTTTCTTGAAGATGGCTGTTTTGTGGCTGCCCAGCCATTCGCAAGGAAATCTGTAATCTACAGCGGTTGAGATATTGTTCTTCCGTCATGAAAACTTGCTTGAGGATTTTAAGCACCTGGCAGACCGGCAGTGATTATTGACGCCTCATTGTCCCTCTCAAACCCTTATCTGTGCCGAATGTTTGAAACGCTGGCCCATCGTCATAACCATATAGACCGCACAATTGCTTGCGATATTTCACTTACAACAGTATGTCCACTTCGTATAGGGTATGATCCATCTCTTCTGCAGCTTAGACGTTTATTGTCAAGCTGTCACCTTTGTCATTGAGCATTGTCACTCCACAAAAGGTGATCCAATCCCTTTAATGTGGTGCACCCCCCCCCCCCCCACCTTTTCATAACACGTGGTGATTACGTTTGGAAGGCGCCCCTACCTTAGCAACGTGACATTTCCACTACCTCATTGGAACCTCATTGGCCAGTAAAAAATATGATAATTGTTTTTTTACTCTTTTATCTGGCAACAAAACTGACACCTTTTTTTACAAGGAGTCTTGTTTGCATAGACCACAATACCTGCAGTCATAACGCAAACAAAACACATTACTCTGATAATGTATGCACTGTCCTTGAAATTGATTGGTCCACACCCGAGACAGCTTTCCTTAGAGCCTAGTCTCACATGTGAGTTATGTTTTTTTGTTTGCGTTATGGCTGCAGGTATTGTGGTCTATGCAAACATGACTCCTTGTAAAAAAAGGTGTCAGTTTTGTTGCCAGATAAAAGGGTAAAAAACCAATGATCATTTCCACTACCTGTTTGAGAGCGAAGATCGGGACATGGTTGTTTGAAACATTGATGCACGGTGTTTCCTTCTGAGAAGAATTTGCGCTCGGGGTTGCGTAATACACACACACAAACACAAAAACACACAAAACACACACGCACAAACACAAAAACATTGCAAGGCACGGTAGCATATGCCTGGAAAGGGCGACACTTTTTTGGAGGCAGTGATGACGGACCGCTCAGACAGCCCAGTCGCCTGCATGAGACGCTCAACGCGTACCAGGGCTTCAAAGCTGCATGATGACGGCAGTGCGGCAATTAGATTCGGTTTATTTATTTTCTACATTTTGTGGGTTATTTAAAAACGATGAAAATTCAAACAATTTGTAACGCGAACACATTACACACATTACAGGAAGCGGAATGCATGGCTCTCCTCGGGTTACCCAGGCTTGCTTCCACACACGCTTAGAACCTTGGCCATCAATCAGCAACCCTGCTGGAAATGAGTCTTGAGAATCAGCGAGCCTTTCCATGGGCACATGACAAGCATTATTGTAGCCCAGTCACTATAAAGCACTATAATATACCACACCATATATTTAAGCATACCTATAAAAAGAAGTAAATTATACATGCGCTTTTACGTTAATTGAATAATAAAATTAGGAATTCCAGCAATTCTTACTCCAACAAAGGACAAAAGCCTCCATATGCCATGTCGGTTATGTATATATATATATTTTTTACCATACTTCACCACTCTAGCCAATGCGGGTTGGTGAAAAGAGTCAGAGAGCAGGAGGAGTTTTGATCTCACTTTCCACTGCTGTCATCCTTGGCCAGGAGTCCAAGTCAGACCGCCAGGTTCACAGCACAGCAAGCATGTTCATCTCTGCAGCTCCACTGCACTCCATTGCATGATAACATTATTACAAGTAGAATAAAACAATCATGATGCATAGTCAAATCTTCGACATTATTGTTCCTTTAATTGGGTATCATAGAAACAAATGTAACCAAAAAATGTTGCTTTAAGCAACTACTATGCGCGTAGCAGATTATGTACGTGATGTTCGCTTATTAATAAATCAGTGGCTCTGTTTATTGATATTATACATTTACTCTCCTTTTTGAAATCAAACATAACATAGACATTGCGAATTTAATGCCAATGCCAATAACAATGACCGAAGCAAGCATCTGTATAAGCATTTCCCGTAAAAATATGTCATCTGACAGGCTTTCACTCATTAGCACAGGGGTAGAACATTATGGCCTTGTTTGTATTGTGATTGAGGGTATTGTGTTTTCACCGTAAAATTTTATCTTTTGATTTGTCTCTAAAGAATCAATATTGGTTGAAAGTTATTTATTTAATCAGGTTAAGAAATTCATTTATTTTTGCACGCGGGATATGGGGAAAACTGGGGTATATGGCTATAAAACAGCTCTTAAAATACCTAATTTATTATATTTGTAAGTGGTTTGGGATTATCAGAATGAGGGCCTGAAATAAGAATGTTAATCTCACCTTTTCCACACTTAGAATTGTTATTTTTCCATTCACATCCCTCATCAGGTGTGTGTATTTAGAGAGGAAAAATATTTAAAAAATGTAGAAAATGCTTGGCGATGAATTTCTAAGGTATATCTCGGGGCTCTGGTGGATTTCTTGAATAAATAACATTTTCCTTTCGACCCGGGCCAAGTGGCCAGTGTTATAAGCCCCTCAGTAAGGCTGCATCAGGACAAGTACATGTTAAAATCACTGGCCACAATAAAATACCAAACCTTTAGTCATGCAAATATATGTCCAACCAAGCAGTCAGCAAGTTTTCCACAAAGCTGTATGGGTTATTCAGTTTAAATGCCGCGTTTTGTTAATAACGCAATGTGTTGGCTTATATCTGCAATATAGTGCTTGTGGGAGTGGGGGTGGTGGGTCACATGAAAAATTCTGGAAAAAAACACGTTTAATTTTCAGCGTTATTCTCTCGTGTTCTTGTGATACCAGTTTCTTCTTACATGCAGCAACATATACAACATTACCCCACAAGGAATTACCGAAATATGCCAGGAAGGAGCCTCTAAAAAGAATGTTGAGATTTTGTTGGCACACTTTATATAAATAAAGCAATGTTAATATTGCTAATGCGTTAAAGAATCACTCAAACACACCGGGCATTGCAACATATAAATGAAAAAGCTCATGACTTCATACAATGCTTGTGTTTGACATTCCATCACTGGAAACGTACACAAACATTATAATACATAATGGTGAGCTTTTACTTTATAATTCATTATTTTCACTATAAAATAAAGTAAAAATGTTCAGGGTCAAATTTATTTTAAGGATGATATTAAATGCTAACACAATCAGTCTTCCATTTGAAGCTTAAGTTGAATGTAATAATAAGCATCGATTATAACTTGTGTTGATTTTAGGTGTCACTGTATTGAAAAATACAATGGAGATGGTAATTACTCTTAAAATGTGGATTCATGACATAAACATTCCACGCATCGATGTTTTATTCTTAGTGCTGTGTTAATTGTATTCTTAAATACACAATGCATCGTGTCTATTCATATGAGAATGGGGAGCAGGACCGGTTTCCAATTGGTAGCCCTGAGTCGGTGGCTGAAATTCCAAATTCTGTAAAAACACAATACCTGTTGACTTTCCACAACGTGGTCCTTGTGTTTGTTTTCAACCCCGGCGTATGATGGGCCAAGTCGACCTGTAACGGGATTCTAATACCAAGGGCAAAATACTTAAGAGGTCAGAGTAAAGGTTATACAGTGGCATCCCATTCACTCGCTACAAAGATACGCGCACGTACACACACAGCGGTCTTTTGTGGTTCATCGCACTGCATTTCAGAAGTGTTAAGCAGCGCTGAGAGTGCTGTTCAATAAGATGGCTTGATAAGGTTAACACGCAATGCTCAGTGTGCATTTGCGCCCTTTACCTCGAAGCTGGATTTGAGTGCCTGCCTTGTGTTGCGCCAGGGATAGAGCGGCGCATTGATTGTTGTGGGCCTGCATGGAGACGCTGAGCTTCTGTATTGTTACCATGAATCCATTTCACAGCCTCTCTGACCTTGGGTCAGAGGCTGCTAAAGCATTTGAGTTAATGTTAACATTCCCTTCTGCTTAAAATCTGAAACAACCACAATGACTGTGAAGCAGTGTTTGATATAATACATCGTGTCAATTATTGTGTATTCTGTAAAGCTAACAAAAGCTGTCATTGCCCAATCTGATCCCGTCATCTGTATGCAAGTCAGCCCTTGCAGAAATTTAGTCCAGTGGACTTTTCCTAGTACAGGGAATGAGAGCTCGTTTCATTGCTAAGCAAGTGTGTGAACGAATACATTTAAGGAACTCTTATCTGGATGTCCCTAAACTTAGAAAACGTTAACCATATGTCATCTCAGCCTTATATTGTTCTGGGGTAAAATGAGTACTAATTTATGGGAAGTCAACAGTAGTCTTCTTATTCTGGGTTCTTTCGGTAAAGTCACGTAGAAGGGAAATAATAAAATAATAAAAATAAAATACAATTCTCACGACGTTTCGGCCACAACGCAAGCAGCCGTCCTCAGGTGAAGAACAGGTCTGTCGGAAAGACAGCGTCTGAATGAGCACCACCAATCTTGGCAGCGTATATTTAAGCTGGGTTAGAGGGGGAAGTGCGCCTTGACAAATTAATTTGCATATCAATAGGAATTTAGTATATTTATGGCAAATGCAGATATGGGATTAGTCACTACTTGTGGAATGCGTAGGAGATGGGGGGGGGGTCTCAAAGTCATATTATGCCCGTGCATTATGTAGGATTAGCAGCAACAAAGGGAGGAAGTAGCAGTAATAAAGGGAAGGAATTTTAAATAGTAAAGTAGTCTTCTTATGTAAAAAAAAACAAATCTGCCCCCACCATGGGTGTGTGGAATTTCCACCACTTTCCTCGGGTCATGCTCACGGAGATTATTTGCACGTGCCTCGAGACTTCTGGTGGTCTGCAGACCTCGCCATGGGGAGCTGCATCTTCCGCGTGGTGATCGAGCGGTGGGATATACTACGACGACTACGGCAGAAACACAACGCAGCGCTCGGTACGCGCGATGGAAGCCAGTCGAAGCTCAGGGTCTACTGAAATGGGCATGGTCAGAAAGTTATGAATGTATTATACGAAACGTTTTCTTCTTGGTTCTTTCGGTAAAGTCACGTAGAAGGGATGTAATTCAATAATACAAATAAAACATAATAAAATAATTCTCACGACGTTTCCATTCAGACGCTGTCTCCCCGACAGACCTGGTCTTCACCTGAGGACGGCTGCTTGCGTTGTGGCCGAAACGTCGTGAGAATTATTTTATTATGTTTTATTTGTATTATTTTATTACTTCCCTTCTACGTGACTTTACCGAAAGAACCAAGAAGATGAATCCCTGCAGTCACGAAAGCTTTAAATCGAAATGTAAATACGAAACGTTGTTTACATATTTGCGGGTTTCCTTTGATGAAGAGCACATGGAGCCACTTGACAATGTTTTTGTGCTTTCATAATTTGTGCTTGACAGGGTGAAACAAAACGACGTCAGTGAATTAATCATCTGGGTTGAATTGTGGTAATTGTTCCTGTTTGTAGCCGTCCATGCGTCCGCGGTTGGCTAAGAATTACCGAAAAATGTCACCTGTTAATTTTATTATTATAGAACCTGTGACGTCATTCTCAAGTGGTCGTGAGCCACATCCCTGGTGTGAAAATGACCTGGAATAAACGAGTGCATTTGGAGTGGGGGTTGTGAATCTTGCTGAGAGCATCTGTGTGAGATGCACCTGCAGACGAAATGAAGTGTCAGTCTAGGGCAGTACTGTAAATAGTTTGCCGATTTCTCTGAGAGAACTTTGAAAGTTTTGTTCTGTGCGTGGGATTTTCTATAAACTCGCGAGAGTGTTTCAACTCGGCGAGATTTTTATGGATACAAAAAAACAAATAAAATACATCCCTTACATAACAAAGGTAACCTGAGTCTATTCTTTGCAACACAAAACATTTATCTGAATGGGATTACACATATTTTTTGATAAAGTCACGTAGATAGAAAAATAAAGTGAATAAAAATAATACAAAATAAAAATAATAAAAAACAAAACCACTAATGTAGACTGTAGCCTAGTTATTAAGTTTGGTGAGTGTACTGGCAGTCTATAATGTAGACTGTAGCCTGGTTATTAAGCTGGGTGAGTGTACTGGCAGTCTATAATGTCGACTGTAGCAATGGTCATTAAGCTGGGTGAGTGTACTGGCAGTCTATAATGTAGACTGTAGCCTGGTTATTAAGTTTGGTGAGTGTACTGGCAGTATATAATGTAGACTAGCAATGGTTATTAAGCTGGGTGAGTGTACTGGCAGTCTATAACGTAGACTGTAGCCTGGTTCTTTATCTAAACACCTGCTTAAACACCTGTTTAGATAAAGGACATTGACTATAAAGTACACGCATACATACAGTCTACTGTATAATGTATAGGGTGCAGTAATTCATTTTTAAAGGTTGTATATGACTACGTATGTGTGTGGTCTTCTAAATTATCCTGAAACATTATCGCCTGAATGCCAAGTTTTTGTTGTAGTCTAACAGCTGCTGTATTTTCTCTGTGAGCATTTTAGCCCCATAGAAGCACGTCAACCCTTAAAACGGAGGGCTCAAAATGGCCTAGTTATTACCGTGGTATATTTGTAACTCAAGCATAAAACTTCACCACCTATATAGCTAATTACATTTAAAGATAATTAGAATGTACGATTCGGGCTTCCTTTTAAAAAAAAACACATTAACCTCTCATTACAAAGTGTCAAATATATGACAAATATAACTCCGATATATATTTTAAAAAAAACATATAGCAACTGTTGAAATACACCACAGCAACAGCATAGCTACCTCGTTAACATGGAAGTTAATTATCCTCCAACAAAGGAGACGTTTGAGCCCCGTATTGATGACAGTGTCCATCGTTTCTTCGTTGCCCAAGTAACTGACTTATCACCATGGCTGCAGTTGCAAGTTGCTATAGCAACATAACTGAGAGCAACATCGCATTTCGGGCTATGGTCCAGTGAATGGATGCGTTTGAATCAACCGATTAACTCTTCGATGCTCATCAGCATTAATAAACCAATGAACCTCGAATATTGCTCAGGTCTTTAAGATGGCAACATTTGGGGAAAACAAAATAAGCCTTAATGGTGTCGAAAAATGATTTCCTGTTTTTGATTGCTTCAGCGTACGGTGGAATTGTAGAGGCTATGCCCATATCCAATTTTGGGCATCTGATACCGGTCATAATTAACATCAATAATACTGTCACTTATTGATCCACGAAATCCTAATTGAGGCTTAAGACTTTATTTATATATGCATGGCTTCTGCATTGGATGTTAAGCAAATTGCTTTACTGTTATTATTGTCAAAGTATGGTGCTCTATATGTGAGGGGGGAAGCCAGAGTACCCAGAAAAAATCCCAAATACGCCAGGGGACAATACTCAAAAGATCTCCACAAAGGGGTCACGATCCATTTGATGTATCTCGAATTTTCCTGGCCACCTCATGGCCCAGTATGATGGGAAGCTCAAAGCATACAATCTCCTCTCTTTCATCCAACACACCACTGTTTATGAACGGCTGGCTTGCGTGCGTGCAACCACCGTGATGATGGTCATCGTGAGTGGACCCTTTTGTTTCCCCTGCTCATTTTGAGTTTCACGAATGTTCACCTCTCGCACGGTTGGCAAGAGATAAATATGTTCAACATGCACACGTTGCATACATCGCTTCTGATTTGCGCGACAGATGCTTTGGATAAGCATTGCCTCGCAATACAGACAGAGGTAGAGTGAAAGAGAGAAACTGGGAGGCACAGAGAGAGAGAGAGAGAGAAAGAAGGAGAGACTAACTGACAGCTTTTTAGCCGATGGCAGGTAGAACTGGTGAGATGCCAGCAACAAAGCCCAACTCCAACACAGGCAATGCTAAGGTGTGCATTAGTTTCAGTGAGGATCTTTGGAACTGTGACCTGCAGCTCCACAATCCAACTTATCCTACAGCACTCAACATTGAAAGTGCCCTCTACCAGGGTCAACTTGGCCTCGAATGAGTACGCATCGCTGCGTTCATAGTGCTGCACACAACAGAAAGGACTTGGGATTGGAGTGTTTTATTGCTGCTCTCAGCGATACATTTTTTTTATGTCGTGAGCAAATGCAAGCAGGAGCGGTGGTGCAGCTGTTCGCTCACTGCGCGATGAACCCGATGACCTGAGTGTGATTTATGGCCACGGTAAACGTCGGCGGTGAGTGATACCTGGACCAGTCCTTCTCCTCTCGTCATCAAGGGGCACTGACCGGCATGGTGAAGTTATGGCCAAATAACCTACCATGGCCGACATTGCGCCGGAATACCTTCACCCAGCGGTGAATTGACAAAGGGCTGAAACAAATTTGCAGGGGATTGCAAGCCACATAGAAAAAAATAGATTCTTTCAGTTCCTTGAATTAGTCACTGTTGCTGAGCAGAGACCAGAGGCTTATAATGCAAAGCAACCAGCAACAGATGGAGGCCAGGGTAAGGAGAATAGGTGAGATTTGATAAGCTTCTTGAATTGATTTGGCTTACGTGATGTTTGAAAGACAGATAAAGGCATGGAGGTGTAATTCTTGAGCTGTGCGGGCAAGGAAAAAGGTGGCATGTTCTATTGTGTCACGAGGCAGCTGTACGCAGCATGGATGAGAGCAGTTGGCAACTCGTGTGGACCACAATTCGAGAAATGAGGGTTCTGATCAAAGCACTCGGCTCCTGAGAGCAACACCAGCTATAGAAGCGTGCTGGCAGTGGTATAACAGAACCCATTTGCTAGTGCCCTCTGCATCAATGGACTTAGAATGACGTGGGTCTTCCAGCAAAGTCATTGCTGTGGGTCCCACACTGACGCCTGAAATAAAGACATATGCATGTAATGGTTCTCTGACTTTGTGGTGTTTCTGCAACACGGCATGTCCAAAATAAACATTCAACAGACTCTTTTGATTTCTGTCCCCTGAATCCAGGGTGTTTAGATGGGTTTTTTTCGAACATGTTTTGTCTTGCAAAAAAATCAGTCAGATTGGCTTGAGCAGCTGGCATTCAGAGCGTGCCACTTACAATAAATTCATTCAGCTTCGCTTAATTTTACATTTTGGCCCCATCTCATACGCTTGCTGACAGCTCTGTCTGCAAGACACACGTTAGGACGCGTTGTATTTTGCGATAAGCAGGCTCATGTATAAAATACACATCTTTAAAATGACCCTCATTAATTTTGGCAGGATTCATTTATGGAGCTTCCTGCAAGGCTCATTAATAATTTGTCTGTTCTATTATTTTAATTACCTGCACCTCGAAATATCTCGGTTAATGCATTGGATTTATTTTCCATTTTAAACGAAAAGTTCTTCATTTGAGATTGTGGCTTATGGGCAGGGCTTTGCAAAGCGATAAAATATATACTCTAATAAAGGGTCTGCTTTGTGGGTAAGTGCTAAAGATATAATTAGTGAGTTTGGCTGTGTAAAGAAACAAAAGCACTGAATAAAAAAATTGCGCTCGTTTTATTTAATTGAAATAAGAATATCAAGGTCAACATTTGTTCTATACTTTTAAATACTGTATAATGGTAAGTCGATAAGCTTTGATGAAAAGCGGTTCCAAAACGTGTTTCAATTTGTGATTTAGACTGTGGATACGTATGTAAGCAAGGTTATATTATATTCTAATTTCATCATAAATTTTGCGGGATAAATGTGACAAAATTAAAACGCGACATGACGCGCCATCTACTTTGCCGGTGCCCTCCATCAGCATTCCCGTGAGGCCCAGGCTCAAGTCCAGGTTGTTTATCATTTATTGTGCCCAATTCCACGACGGCCAGCTGCTGTGTTCATTGACGTCAGTGGCTTCACGCTGCGTAGCGTAAACACATCTGGCTGTTGCCTGATGAAGCTGGTTGTAATTACTGGCGAAACGTCGTACTCAGATTGTAAATGTTGTGGCTTGCCTCTCCAACCCACCGGTTAGTGCTGTACTAGTATACTATACACTACTATACACTACAATATACACTACACTATACACTACACTACTATTACACTACACTACACACTAGTGCTGTACTAGTGCCGAATTGGCCACGTTCTGTTTACGTGACAACAAGCCTTACTAGTTGGCTGTGTAGGGTGGTGGTGGGTTTTAACGACACATTTATATATTTACGCGATCTAACACCAAAAAACTCTTATTATCGTAAACACACCTGCAGATCCTCAGGCTTGCAGAAATTAGAGTGCAGAATGAGATTCACACCACCAGACCGTAGATTGCTTTCCTGTCTGGCCGGCAGTTAGCCGTAGAAGCTACGATAAGGCCCATTGATTTGAGGTTGTGTTCTGCCTTGATCTTGGGCTGTGCATTGAGATTTGCATCTGGGTGCTGAAGCTTGGAAGGAATAAAACAAGATAATTTCCGCCCTGGTGCTTGTAACTCTTTGGTACGAAATGAGGGGTGTTATTATGAATAAATAATAAACGAAGGATTAAACTTGAAAAGGGACAACACCTGTGCAGGTATAAAATACTTGATCCTCAGCTTTAATCAGTAATTTTTTTTATAACTGTACAAGCAGCGGATCCCAATGGGAAAATCGTCTATGTTATGTTTTACTGTATTAAATGGTTGTTAACAAGTGTGTACTATTACAAGAATCATTGCTAACGATATGTGTATCAATGCTTGTTGCCATCAAATTACCATAACATCAAAGACTTTTAATATATTACGTTTCAAGTTAATGTCCCGCTATTTGTATGAATGCCCAGTGGAGAGAATGAGTATAATTAGAGTTACATTATGTACTTGACAAAATACTAACACTAGCCACAAAGCTGTGAACATTGCTGAAATAAATGATAATAAACACAAGATGTCACGTAGATTGTGTATGTATTCATATGCCGCATTGCTGGATAATTTCCAATTCACATGAATTGTAAACATTTTGCCACGCAGTGCTATCCAAAGGACACAGGGCATGGTTGATTCCTTTAGCTCATTTGGCTATTTAAGACTTTCCACACTTTTGTGTATGTATGTATTTTCTCCAAAAATAGTTTTACTAGTTTTTTGTTTGCACCAAAATTAACTTACATTGCCTCCAAAATCAACCCAGGAGTTTGGCTTCGAGTTGAGATATAAATCATCCTCTACACCACTACATATAGCGAGGCCTTTCCATCCAATCAAATGCAGGGGCTTATTATTCCAGGAGATACTACTCCGTGCATGAGTATGTATGCACCTCCGATTAGCACAGTTGGTGTGCAAAAGAAGTTCAACATACATACACACATGTGCCAAAGCCATCTCACCTTAGATTGTCCTCCACACTGACAGAGACGGTGAGTCCATGCATCTAATGTTCATAAATATGTTCGTAGGTTTATAGGAATAATTATAATAATGCTGATTTGTAACGCGCATGATTATCACTTGCCCGAAGGCAGCGGCCCCCGAGGGTACAATATTACAGGGTTATTATGGATGGGCCTACTTTGTAATCATGGTGGTAGTCCCATACACTGAGAAACTCTACACCAAAACGAGCCGAGGAGCTGCCTGGATTTGATCCAGTGCCGAATGGACAGTCATTTTAGTTGCTTTCATTAACATAACAGTGACGTCTGTTGAACATGTTCATCTCTTCTAGATTTGAAGCTTTCGTGACTGCAAGGATTCATATTCTTAGGTTTTTTCGGTAAAGTCATGTAGGTGAAAAATGTAAATTAATAAAAGTAAAAAAAAAATCACGACGTTTCGGAGGCAACACAAGCTTCCGTCTTCAGGTGGAACCGTCACAGCACGATAGCTGTGACTTTACCGAAAAAACCTAAGAATATGTTCATCTCTTGATTTTCAATGGTTT